AAAAGTAAAGTAAAGTAAAAGTATGTATGTCGTTTTCTTTACGTTTTCTGACTAAAAGCAACCAAAAAGCAATTTTAAAGTGGTTAAGCAAATTATAATAATAATAATCGGCAGGGATCCCAGACCAATACAATTAGTGTGCCTCCTCTATTTTAAAACCCACGAGCCGCCACTGTAAACACGATGTAATAAGACATTCATTGTGCTGTGTAGACTGCTTTTTTTTATTACATAGGTAGTTTTCGCAAAAGCGCTGAATTTTAATTGACTTAGAATCGAACAATAGCAATGGACGGGACAAGAAAAATAAACCTGGCACTTTTTCTATTACGAGTAATGTGTTTCTTTATTCTTCATTTTATGAATAACTTTTCATCAGACCTTGCCATGTTTACTTAACTGAAAAATATTTGAAGGATGCATACTGTTTTAATGTATTTTTTTACTTAAAATTATACTTTAATAATTAACTTAATTATGAACTAAATAATGACACTATTGTCTTCTGTAGAGCTGCTTTACAGCTGAAATTGCTGTATTGTATAAAGCACTATATGATCTAATATTTTTTTAGTTTTTAAATAATTAGTACCAAATCTGTTAATATTCATATCTATTCATTTTGTGTCTTGATGCATTGAAAATAAACTAATTAGTATGGAATTTGTACCTTTTAACTTGATAATTTTTCTGTTTGCTTTTTTTTTTCATTGCTTTATCCTGTATACTATTCAGGAATTACCTGTTCAGTCATCATCATAATTGATTTAAATGTATAAAAATGACATTAAAATCTGCCTAATGTGCATGTGTGTGTGCAGTAAGACGATGGTGTGCCGTCAGAGAGTTCTGGAGCTGCTGCCGCGTGTGGAGGGGATGGTGAGTGCGATCGCCCGCAGCGAGAAACAACTGATGCACCTGCAGGAGAAGAGACAGAAGGAGCTGTGGAACCTGCTGAAAGTGGCCTGCGTATGCATACTACTCATACTACTGCAGTATGCATGTGTGCACTTGCACAATGTCGTGTGCTTGACTTGAGCTTGTGTGTTTTAGAGTAAGGTTCGTAGTCCAGTGAGCGGCAGTCCAGACGGAGGACGAACTCCACCGGCCCCTGCACACCCGCTGATGTCCCACAGACCGTCCGACGTACCGCAGGCGTGAGTCCAGCGTCAGAGCGTGTGAGACACACTTTGCATTCATTTGCATGTTTCCATCATGAGTGTTTCTCTCTCGTGTGTGTTCAGAGACGAGTCTCAGCTTGTGATTGAGGAGAGCAAGATGTTTGAGAGCCGCCTGCAGAGTTTAGTGCAAGACACCATTGAGGAAACAGAGTCCAGCATGCAGGTAACTCGTTTGAGAAATATAACTATTTTGACTCGTTTTGTAGAGTTTTTACTAAATTTCAAAAATTCAGCAAAATGCCCAAAATGAAAATTTGCTTAAAATGTGCTCGCCCTCAGGCCATCCAAGATTAGGATGAGTTTGTTTCTTCATCAGGTTTGGAGAAATGTAGCATTGCATCAGTGTCTCAGCAATGGATGCTCTGCAGTGAATGGGTGCCGTCAGAATGAGAGTCCAAACAGCTGATAAAAACATCACAATAATCCACAAGTAATCCACACCACTCCAGTCCGTCAGTGAACATCTGGAGAAGACAAAAGCTTCATGTTTGTAATAAAAAAAAATTAATAATGAGACTTTTTAACTAAACGATTGCTTCTGTTGCTGAAATACGAGTCCTCTATCCATAATATTGCTTCCTCCGGTGAAAAAGTGGTCTGGTCTGAATCAAGAGAGAAATCTGCACAGATCAAGCACCGTTTACAAGCCAAAACAGCTCTAAACAAATCTGTGGGTTGATTTTGATGAGAGAGGACAAAATGAGATGGACTTTTTCAATGGAGGAAGCATTATTATCGAATATGGACTCATATTTTAGTCAGAAGCAACAGTTAAAACACCTTAAGGATGGATTTGATTCTTACAAACATGAAGCTTTCAGCTTCTCAAGACATTAACTGATGGACTGGAGTGGTGTGGATTACGTGTGGATTATTGTGATGTTTTTATCAGCTGTTTGGACTCTCATTCTGACGGCACCCATTCACTGCAGAGCATCCATTGCCGAGACATTGATGCAATGCTACATTTCTCCAAACCTGATGAAGAAACAAACTCTTTGAGAATAATTCATGCCTCATTAAAACATGTCCATAAAACACACCGATCAGAGATTATGTCCATCACTGACATTCATCTCTTTCTCTTTTAGATACTGAGAGAGTGGAAGTGGTTAAACGGAGGGCAGGATTTGGCTTGATGTCACAGGTTACCAACGAGTCGAACCCGAGTTTGTCAGTCAGACTGTTACCTCAAGAGCGAACAAACATGATGCTGTACTGCCACCAACTGGAGGAAACACGATACTGCAGGCAATGTGTGCTGACAATTCATTTCTTACCTGTAAGAGGTTATAAACCCTTAAATATAGTTTTTTAATCATATATGTTGACAATTTTCCAGCCTTTCTGATGTTTTCTATGCAAATGCCTATTCACATTTTGTGCACATTTAATTGTGTATAAATGTTGTTGGCTCCATGACAAATAGCTCGTGCTGTTCCTCATTTGTAAGTCACTTTGGATAAAAGCATCTGCTTATTGAATAAATTAAAATATCAATCCATCCTAGTTAGACCAAGTGTCTGATCACTCAGTAGGTGTCACTGATGTGTAAACATGGACATTTTATTCATTTTCATCCTTCATGGTGCTATGAAGATTTCATGACAAAAGGTAGACTTATCCAGATCATACACATGAGCATGTGAACCTATGAAATATGTGAAGTACAGTTTCAGTCAGGGAAATTATTTTTATATGCTAAGAAAGAATAGCACCTTTTCTTTGGTACACAGATAGGTATTTTTTTACACACAAAAAAATGAATAAAATGTTGCATCCAAGTATTTTGTGTGTTAATTTTTTTCTAGTGCAATTTCATTAAATATAAACATTTTTAGAACGTAAAACTTCTGAAATATATCTTAAGTTATGGAAATTATTTTTATATGCTGAGAAAAAATATAACTTTTTCTTTGGCGTACAGCAGCATATCACTGCGTATCACTTTTAGTATCGGTGAGATATAGTTTGTATTAATATTTTGATATTATATTTTGTTTTCATGTTAATTTTAGTTACAGTTTTAGTCATTTTTTGTTTTTGTAATTTTTAATAATTTTTTTTAGTTTTTATTAATTTTTATTTCTGTTTTAGTTATTTTAGTATGTCGTTATTTCATGGTTTTAGTTAACTGTAATAACATTGGTGTACAGGGTTTTTTTACACAAATAAGTTATATTCAAGTATTTTTTGTTTATGTTTTTGGGTTCCATGCTAAAACATTAGCGACATGTTAAATCATGTTGGAAAATTGCTAAAACATGATAGAAACATGTTAAAACGTATTTGTTAGCAATGTGCTAAATCATGCTAGAATATATTTAAACATGTTATTTACAAGTTAAATCATGATAACATGTTAAAACCTGTTAGCAATGTGCTAAATCATACTAGTAACATGTTAAAAAGCTAACAACATGCAAAAACACGTTAACAACATGTTAAAACATGCTAGCAATGTGTAAAATCATGTTAGCAACATGTTAAAAAGCTAACAACATGCAAAAACACGTTAACAACATGTTAAATCGTGCTAACAACAGGCCAAAACGTGTTAGCAACATGCTAAATCATGCTAGCAATGTGCTAAATCATGCTAGCAACATGCTAAAACAGGTTAACATGTTAAAACATGCTAGCAATGTGTAAACTCATGCTAGCAAAATGCTAAACCATATTAAAACATGTTGAAACATGTTAGAAACGTAAAATCATGCAAACATGTTAAAACATGTTAACAAAATGCTAAATCATATCTAGCAAAATGTTAAAACATCTTAACAAGATGTTAAAACATGTTAACAATGTGTTAAAAAGCTAACATGTTAAATCATGTTAGCAACATGCTAAAACATCTTAGCAAGATGTTAAAACATGCTAACAATTTGTTAAAAAGCTAACAACATGCAAAAACACGTTAACCAAATGCTAAATCATGCGAGCAAAATGTTAAACCATATTAAAACATGTTGAAACATGCTAACAAAATGTTAAAACATGTTATCAACATGTTAAATCATAATGCTAGCAACAGGCCAAAACGTGTTACCAACATGCTAAATCATGCTAGCAATGTGCTAAATCATGCTAGCAACATGCTAAAACAGGTTAACATGTTAAAACATGCTAGCAATGTGTAAACTCATGCTAGCAAAATGCTAAACCATATTAAAACATGTTGAAACATGTTAGAAACGTAAAATCATGCAAACAACATGTTATCAATATGCTAAATCATTCTAGGAATGTGCTAATACATGTCAGCAGCATGTTAAATAATGTTAGCAACTTAAACATGTTAGCTTAAACATTTAAAGTCCACGTGAACCGGAAGTTGCTGCCGACTTTATTTCAGTGTAGTGACGTATTTCCAGCTGAAACGTAATATATAATAGAGGGCGTGGTTTTATTTTGGCGCTCCTCCTCTCTGTCTCGCACTCATAGCAAACTAACGGTTGGAGGGGCGTGTTTAAGGATATTCTGCCCAAGCCGTCAAACTGACGTCATCAG